GTTGGAGAGGCTACTTCATCCTTATATTCACCTGAAGGTCATTGGAAAAGATAGCTACTGACATGGAGATTTAACCATTTAGAGGAAATGAGGTCTTTACAATCTAGGGACACAAGTGGAAAATGATTTCATAGATAATACTGAATAATAAAAGTTTTGGCTACATGAAGGTAATAACAAGATCTAGAATTTAAAAGATATTAAAGAGACTCTAATCATTCCTAAGTTAGTAAATGACAGTGTATAGTGGGGGAAATGTCGTAAAAGCACAATGTATTTGTACTAGATTTAATTCCAGTGAATTATCCAACCAGTGAAAATGTGTATCAGAGTAAGGAGCTGAGAATGTGAAAGGCTTAAACATTGCTGAGAAAGATGGAGAAATTTACAAAATAAGAACAACACTCGTCAGAGGGATAGAGGGATAGTAATATAAAAATTCCATCTTAGATACCCTTTAGACATTTTAGCAAACAACAACTCTATACTAAGTCTAGGGTGAATTCTTTGTCTGATCAAAACTGTTGAAATAAGAAGCTGGACTCTGGGAAAGTTCTAGGAGAATGACAGTACTGTCACCCTCAGCCCAACCTGCACTCCCGGGGAACCAAGATCACTGCACTTTCTGTGGACTTTGGACAATAAGCCTCCCACCTATGCACACTCTGAAAGAGCCTTGATGAATAGTCCTTCAAAGGGAATTCTGACACTTTGTTCTCTTTTGTCTGAGAACTTCAGACTGATAGCTCATGAATGCTGATCTCCAGTTCTACAGATTACTGCTCTCATCTTCCAGCCTAGTCTCAGATTCACTGGGCAATTGCCCACTTGAAGAGCTGTAAAATTGAGTGTCACCCTTGCCAAGTTTCCGGCTTCTAAACGTCTAGGCTGCTGTATCTCCACATCTATCAATCTTTCCTAAAGTGATCTTGCGTGCTGGATTTTTACAGAGAGATGCTACCATACATCCATATACATATTAGATAGAAACCGTCTGTACAAATTAGAAAGTTTGTCATCTTTTTTCTGGATATTTTCTTCCATTTGGATTTCTGGAAATTATTGAACCCCAGAGCTAAGGTTTGGATAAGCCTGAATTGGAGACCCCGGGAACAAAGTTAGGTCATCAGTTATTGGTGTAATAGGGATACAGTTGAACTTTCAGGAGGTGACCAGAGTGGGAATGAGTAAGTCTTTTGGGGATATAAACCCTGACATAGACATTTTAATCTGTTTCTCACCTTACTTCCTGGCCTCCATGAGGAGTGCAGCCTCCCCTGCCACACACTCCACACCATGACATGTTGCCTTGCCAAAAGCAAGAGGGAAACTGATCATGGACTCAAACCCAGAACATTGTGAGCCAAACTAAACTATCCCTTCTGAAAAGCTATTAATCTCAAGTATTTTTGTTAAAAATATCAGAAAGCTAGTGCACCAACTCTGTTCAAAAATAAGATTTTAATTTTCCTGTTTATTTTGGTTTATTGAATATTTCCTTTTGTACTACCAAGAAGGTTAATTATTATATTGACAATTAAAGTAATGTTATATCAGACCAAAAACATTCCACTATATAGATAGATAGATAGATAAATAGATTATATATATATAGATAGATAGACAGATCTATACAGACATAGAGATCTCTAGATGTATATTTAGATAGATAGATAGATGATGATAGGTAGATAACAGCTGATATATGTTAGGTAGGGATCAATAGACACATACATACAAACATAAAAATAGATAATGCTAAGAATTTCTTTTTATCCAGAACATAATTATGTATTACTGGATTTGTCATCTTGAGGTTGCTTTAAATGACTTGAAGTTTCATAACTAACAAAAAATAATACAGGATAAAAGCATACTAACATTTCTTGTCAAAGGATTTTTTTAAGTCAAAATAAACTATTTGTGAGCAAATGTTTGTATAGACACAACTTATAATAGTTATAATAGTCAATATATTTTTCAAAGCTCCACTAATAGTGAGTACTTTTAAGTACACTAACAAATTGGAAAGGAAAATATTCAAAATATATTTGAAATATCTATGGTTATAAATGTGTTTATGAAGTAGATGGTATCTCATTCCAGTAAAACTACTTTTTGCTAAAGAGAAGTGTAACTTAATTGTGAATAGGAAATAATATATAAAAGATCATCAATGATAAGTTTTATGCAACATATAAGCAAGCATCATTTTCAAAATAATGAGTTCATCAATATATCAAAATATTTCTTTTCAGACTTTACTCATTTTTGCTTTTAACAATAAATTATATCAGTTGATATTATATTTCATTATATTTATAGTATTCATTGATTTACCAAAATCTCCAATTTTATTCAACAATTAAGACTCCATGCTCTGATTCAACCTCAAGTGATGATACAAGTTATGAATACAAAGATAAAGACAAGAGAAAATGAAATGTGAGTCAGTATCCAATTACCTAATCAATAATAATCATATTATTTGAGAAAATAACCACATTTATTTGAGAAAAAAAGTCATTTCTCATTAACCTTATTTCATTCTTCAGGCAAATATCTTAATTCTTTTTGGGATCTCCAAATAATTCTCATTCTACTTTCCTAAGCTGGTTCATAAATGCACATATTTAATTCTTTTGTATAGTTGTTATTATGGTATCAGTTATATAACTTTGAGTTGAAGATAATTGAAAAACACATAAATTTGGAGAAATATAAGAGGCAATTCATTGACTCATGTATATGAGTACATTAGATCTAGCTTTACATAAAACTATTTGCTTCCTAAAACTGAGAGAAAACTTGGGAAATATGCTTACAAAATTCAACAAGATACATTTACAATATGCCTTAAATTATATTCAATATATCAACCATGAAGTAAACTAAGAACAATTAGTCACTGCTCTTATTGCTGGAAAGAACAGCACTTCATTTCATATCTATTCAGCTACTATCATCATATATATCATCTTGAGCAACTAATGATTTTACATGTTTATTGGAAACTTCAAAGATAATTATCTTGGAGAAAAATCATGAGTATTGTCATCCAATTTTACTTGGTGAAAATTATCATTATGCAATATTAAGACTGGTTTCAATTTATCCTATTACTAAGATTGCACAATTAGTATTTGAGAATTTTAAATGTCTTGCTCAGTGTTTCAATTTATAATATTTACAGGAAAATTGGTGGAAATAGAGACTGTCATGTTAAGTGAGGTAAGTCAAGCTCTGAAAAACAAAAATTACTATATATATATATATATATATATATATATATATACACATACCTATATATGTCAACAAAACCCACTATAAATTCTTATAAAGAAATTAGCAAAATGGAGGGTGTTTAAAAAGTAACTGTAATATAGGGGTGAATTTAATCAAAATACTTCGTAGGAAGTCATGGAAATAGCACAATGAAACTCCTCTGAATTTGATCAAGTGCATTATGGATATGTATATAATATGAAATTTCTTCCCCAAAATTTAAATATACTTGTCTGAATTATTCTAAAAAACAACCTCTATTATGCTCATGAAAAAATTTGATATGACATAATTCATTAGAAATCATACCTATATTTATTACTTCTTTAACCCTGGAATTGAAAATGAGTTTTAGCATATGTCTTACATGTTGGTAATTTATCATGGAAATACACTCTTAGAGCATTATTTTGCTTTGCTACAACATTATTTGCCTATTGAGAAGATAATAGATATAGCTATTTGATGAGGAAGAGATTTGCTAATTCACCTGCCATGTTACAATATAGGAAATTATAGAAATGTATTTCATAACTTTATTCCCATGACTTGAGAAGAATGCTACCTGTCCTCTTATAGAGACAAGCAAAGGCTTCTACTAGAGAACTGACATGAATAAGTGGGGCTTGAAATGAAATAGAGGCTCTAATTACATATGTAGAATCAATTAAACTTGGTTCTGCATTTAGCCCTTCAGTCCAGTGCTTTCTTTCCCACATGCTATTTATATTGCACTGTTTCTGCATTTGCACAGAGCCTACATTAAGTTTCCTTAGCTCAGAGCAGATGACAGAAACAAAGCAAAACAAGACTGCTAGAATTCTTCTACATTCTTACTTTGAGGACATAAACTTGTTATTGTTGCTTAGATTCTATTGATTATTAGTTTAGGAGGCTCTCTGAAGGATGTTGTGAAGTATGTATATAAAAGCAAGCTATCCTGGAGTTCAGATTTCTTTTAGAAAAGGTTTCTTCAAAACATCCTTTAAATACTTTCATTGCCAAGAGAAAAAGTGATAAAACACAGCTAGTTGAGCCCCTAGATCTGGATACAAAAATAAAATAAAGTAATTGACACGTAGCCCTGAAGTGGTAGAACATAACAACTAGAGGCAAACCTAAGCAAATGTAAAGAGCGTCTTTTCTTTAGAACTTGAATGCAGAAGCTGGAGGAAGCTTTGCCCTTGGCTTTCATCCCATTACTGGAAGCTTAACTATCTCAGTTTTAGCTTATGGGGTCCACCAAGGCCTGACAAACAGTTAGGTGATGATGTGTAGAGACAGAGGGATTTCTTAGTCAATATCAGGAATTAGGCTTTAGTGCTTTATGCTAAAAGGCTTCATCCCTCACATAGCTGTCTGATATTCACTGAATCCTGGCAGGTAATGGTACTGTTGAAGCTGAAACTGAGAAGCTATGCTGAGTTGATTTTCCTGCATGCTCAAAACGCTTTATTTTGTGAAGCTAGTTTTCTGTGTAGCTGCTCAGAATGCCTTTTTCTTCTTCTTTCTTAACCTCTATGTACTCATAGTTAATCAAAATTACTTTCTAAACATGCCCATAAGAGAGACACTGATTAGATAAATGTTCCCTTTAGCAAAAGCCAATGGTTTTTGCAATGAATAATGATAAGCATGTCCATTGAAGAGTTTTATAAAATAATCAGTCTTCCCAAAAACTACAGGACACACAAAACTGATATTAAATACTTCACCTTTCTGTGGAAGTTCTAGAGGGGTACAGAGATTCTTGTTGGTTGTCGCTGCTGGCAACGAGATCAGTTTTTCCACCAGGGAGGCAGAGATGGGCTGTACTACCAAGGAGGTGAGGTTTGTCCTGCTTTGTCTAAAGTTCCCATCTGCATTCAAGAGTGAAAGAGACAATCTTTAGCAAGCAGAAATGTTATTTGTAATGAGTATTTAAATTATGAGCAATAAATTTTCATTTGTTCATTTATTTATTTAGGTATTCTTTGTCTTCTGACTGAGAATGCATTTAGAGACTTTATTAAGAAGTTTAGTCCAAATACAATATCTGTCCTAGTGAAAGATAGAAGATTGTTCATATGCCTTACCTCTGTGTTCCCCAAAATTGTCCCCTAGAATGACAGCAATAGTAGTAAGAAAGTGAATTTTTAAAAAGCAGGGAGTGGTGGGGTTTGGGGAGGTTGGCAAGAGAATTGACAGTACTGAGATTTTAGAATTTGTTCAGAAGATTGAGATTTAAGGATCAAAGTTCAAAGCCAGCCCAGTCAATAAAGAGTGACCACACTTTTATTTCCAATCCATCACCAAGAAAGCCAGAAATAGAGCTTTGGCTCAAGGGGTAGAGCACTAGCTAGTCATGAGCCCCAAAGCCTAAGGACTATTATCCCCACACACCAATAAAAAATAAAACAAAACAAACAAAAAAAAACAACCAATGCTAAATCAGACTACCAAGTGTGAACTGACATCACAGACATGAGGAAACAACGGTTAAACTACAGCAAAGGTGCTGAGAAGTAATGCATTCAATGCCACGGAAACCAGCAAGGCTTAAAAACTGGCAGCTCCAGCTACTGAAGTCCAAGGGGGTAACAGATGGGTTCTTTGTAGGAAGCACTGATGAAAGTCTATTTGTAAAGATTTCAGTCCTCCTGAATCCCTTAGTCCAACCCATGTGTCTGCCAGATCTTCCTCCTCCCTCATTCCCACGAGAAACAAAAATCCTGAAGAGGAAGCTCACAGAAGGATCTGACACAAAGGATGGTATTACCATTGCTGAGACTTTTCAGATATCTTACCCATTTGGTGCACAATCACTTCCCTTCAAGTAGGAAAATAGGATATACATTCATAATAAATAAGAATAGATTGGCAGAAAATGTCTAAGAAAACTGAAAACCAGGAGGTCTGCAAATCCAAGAATTCACCTGACATTCTACATGGAAACCCATTACACAAGAAATACCACGCAAATCAAAAACTTCAACTTCATTTTGCCATTGTTAATTAAATATGAGCCCTCAGCTTTGGGCACCTGTGCAACAACTGGATAAAGAAGTGTGTAGTGAGACCTGGGTAGTGAGGTCTCCAGGAAGGGAAAAATTCAATGGCAATAAAGATGTCTGCTGAATATCCAAAGACTATTGACTATAAAATCAAAGTTAGGATCTGAAGAATTCCTAGATATAGGAAAAATTAATTTTCTTTATGGCCAGAGATTTTGAGTATTTCTCAATATGTTTATTGCACATTTTTAATTTAAATTGGTTTCTAAAGGTGACATACAGATGGGTTACAATTATATAACTCAGGTAATGAATAGATTTCTTTATGAACAATGTCAACCCCTCATTTTCTCCCATTATTCCACTCCCATCCCTCTCCCTCCAAGTTGTAAAGTATCACTGCTGAATTGGTTGACCCTTTGTTCCATAAGTTCTGTGCTTCTTCTGCCCTGAGAAGGCTCTATTTAGTGTTGTTGCCCACTTATTAATTGGGTTATTGATTCTTTAGAGGTTCAGGTTCTTGAGCTCCTTGTATATTCTGGTGTTAGACCCTTGACAGATAATCATTGGGCAAAGATCTCTCATTCTGTAGGCTGTCTTTTTAGGTTAGTACCTATGTCCTTCACTCTGCAAAAACTTTTAGGCTTGCTACAATTCCATTTGTCAATTCCCTCTTCTATTTGCTGAGCCTTTGAAACTCTACTCAGAAAGTTTCTGCCTATGCCAAAGTTTCCCCTACTTCTTTCTGTAGTAGTTTTGAAGTTTTATGTCTTACATTGAGGTCTTTAATCCATTTTGAACTGATATGAGTACAAGGTGACACAGTGTTCCAGTTTCAGTCTTCCTTTTATGGATGTCCAGTTCTTAAGCGAAATCTCTGACTTATGTAGCTTTTATTGTGCGTTTAAGGAGATGGTGAAAATTGTTTACATCAAAGGGCATCTTTATTTTCCTAAGAATTTACGTTTTAGGATATGAGTCTCTACTCATTCAGAGGAATTTGAGATCTCCAAATAACCACCAAAAAAAGTGGAAGTGGAGCTGTAGCTCAAGTGATAGTGTGGCATCCTTAAGCCAAAACACTAATCAACAGTTCCCACACCCTGAGTTCAAGCCCCAGACATATAAGAGAAGAAAGAAAGAAAGAAAGAAAGAAAGAAAGAAAGAAAGAAAGAAAGAAAGAAAGAAAGAAAGAAAGAAAGAAAGAAAGAAAGAAAGAAAGAAAGAAACAGGCAGGCAGGCAGACAGGAAGGCAGGCAGGTAGGAAGGCAGGAAGGCACGAAGGCAGGAAGGAAGGAAGGAAGAAAAGGAGGAAAGGAGGGAAGGAGGTAGGGAAGGAAGGAAGAAGGAAGGAAGGAAGGAAGGAAGGAAGGAAGGAAGGAAGGAAGGAAAGCAGGTAGGTTGTGTCTCTTGCTAGTGTATGTGGAAATGAGTAAAAGGTAAATATCTTTCAGAGTGGCTGTAAAACTGTTAAAAGTGATCAAATGAGAAGGTGAATGAGACGAAGATTAGGAAAGCTGGCATTTTATAAATTAAACCTCATTTAAATGTTGGACAAATAACTTGCATTCATCAAAAGAAAAGAAAAGAAAGAAATTAAACAAATAGAAGTTAGAGAAAAATCCTAACAGGTTCACAGTATAGAAGAGGGAGAAAAGCAAATGACATCGAGTTTATAGGAATAACAAAAAAATCACCTTAAATATGTTTAGAGATTCAGAAAAGGAAATACACAACAGACTCTGTCTGGTTTAGCCATTGATGTTTTCCAACATAGAGCTATATTTTTACACAATTTTATTGGGGAAATAATTGCTAGAGGTTTGCTCAGAATTTAATTTCTTAGGCCTGCAGGGGGTGTAGAGCTCATGATTTGCTAGGCAGACTCCAGGAGCCAGCTTATAAATGAGAAAATGTTTCTAAAGTGTTTTCTTAATTTATCACCTGGAAAACTAGGAGACTGAAAAATGATATTTACCTTAGGCCTGTGGCAGCTGTAGAAGTCACGACTTTTAGAGAAAACAGTAATAAAGATTTAAGCTTAGAGTCAGTGTCGTTATATAAGCATAGTGCTGGTCTTATATAATGTTGTGACTCCTGTATATGGATAGATGACAAAGCCTCCTGACCAAGGTGTAGTTCACTACTTCCCAGGCATTTTCATGTCACAATACCATGAGAGGAGACATAATTTACAGGGCTCAGAGAAAAATGACAATGTGGTGTTGCTTGTTTGAAAAGTATGAAGAATTTCTGTATGGCCGTTGCAGTGTGAGTTTGTCCTGAAACAGAGCCCTATAAGAGAGCATAGGTCACATGTCCAAGAATTGGAACCAGCATCATCCCAGACACAGATTGTGCACTGATATATTTCCAACACAAAATGTGAAACCTCTATTTTGGTATGTAAGCCAATGGGACTTGAACCCAGAGCTTTGTTTTCTTGCTTGACTTTTTTTTTTTTCACTCAAGGCTGGGCTCTAGGAATTAAACCACACCTTCACTTCCAGATACTTACTGGTTAATTTGAGGTAGAAGTCTCGTGGAATTTCCTGCCCAGGCTGGTATCTAACTGTGGTGTTTAGATCTCAGCGCCCTGAGTGAGCTAGGATTAAAAATTTGTACCATCATCAGCTAGCTCTAAATGAAACTTGATAAGATGGATGATTTTGTTTCTCACCAGTTCAAATACTCTGGCTCAAGGCCATCTTAGGTCCTACTCAGATTTAAACCTTTCATTGCTAACATTAGTTCCTATCATTCTTCATCGTTCTTCATATATCTTATGCTAAAACTTAATCTCACACTGTACACCCTACAATTTACGTTGTCTGTGTTGTTACTTAAACCCCTTTATTTATTCTCCCCAGGAAAGAAGCACCACACATTCCAAGAACATGGTTCCTCCGAAGCCTGACTCAAACCCCAGCTTGTACATGAAGCTTTCACTGATAATCAACTGTTCCTGACACAGCTACCTTTTGAAAATCCTTGTCAATTTCAACTAACCTTATCACTGTGCAAATCTACTTTTTCTCCCTAGCATCTTGCTTTTTTTTGTACTGGTCTGGGGGCTTGAATTCAGGGTCTGGGCATTGTCTCTGAGCTTTATTTATTTATTTTTTATTGTTTTTTTTTTTTGCTTGAGACTAGTGCTCCACCTTGTGAACCACAGTTCCCTTTTTGGCTTCTTGCTGGCTCATCAGAGATAAGAGTCTAATGGACTTTATTGCCTGGGATAGCATCAAATCAAGATCAAGTCTTAGCCTCCTGAGTAGGTAGAGTTACAGGTGTGTGCCATTGGAACCCAGCTCATTTTCTTCATCTTAATACTCATTTCCTTAAAGAAAAGGACAGTGAAATTGATATATGATGCTTAATATATTGTCAGGAACATGGTAGGTCATCAATAATTAATTTAAAAATAATATCAATTATTTGAAAAATGATTTTAAATGCCACCCTCCTATCAATTTTCTGAATGCTTACAAATACATCAGGGACACAAATGAAGAACCATCTATGTCTTCTCCCTTCCGCCCAGAAACTACTCCCCACTCAGAAGGCATATTAAAAAGATTCTAAAAACCCATCTGACCTAACCAATGCACTGCCTGACTGTGTTTTAAAATTACCATTTGTATATGAAAAGGAATTCAATGAATTAAGTCATTGCTAAAACATATTTATGTGTTAAGAGAAATCAATAGCCAGACCTCATCTTTCTCTACAGTGCTTTATTAAGCATAAGCAATAATACATTTAAAAGTTAAATGTGAGTGAACCCTAAACCATAATTGAACATACCCAAATCTTTGATTTTCAGGGGTCTGCATGACTAATAGACTTGTATTAGTTTTGAAATA